CCCATTGTGAGTATATAATTGTGAATAGATTGCCAATTTGGCAATCTATTCACATTTGTAGACAAGAAAAACCTCTCTTGTCATCGAATCAAATCGGATAGTCGGAAGTTGTTTCAATTTATCTTCGCCAAGGCGGGTGTCAGGTGTCGTGCAAAATTCACGGCTGAGGCAATCGTTACGCTAACGTGTAACTCTCTATATCCAGTAGGTTTAATTGGGACGTTACACTCCAACCCACAAGGTACATCTGAGTGATGGGAGGCTTTCAACTGGATTTAATTGGTAGTGTATTGTCTCTTCTTTTCTTACTGGTGGACCACAGGAAATCACTGACTACCTCTGAAGAGGACGTAAATCAGCAATCCTGGGTAGTCTCAGTATGGCAAAGTAGCAACAAAAACTCATTCCACGCTACAAATTCGGAGCGAAAAGCACGGATAGAACGGTAGATATACACTCTTAAAGAGCTTTAATGGGAGCAAAACAGGAGCATAGTACTTTCTGGGTATACACGTGTTCGACTGAACTTAGGATTGTGCTTAAATGTGAAATCTGAAAAGCAATCGGGCTTAAATTAATCCCATTGAACCCTCATCATAATTGGGCCTTAGTTGCGGTGCACAGGGCTGCAATCTGTCCCATATTGTTGAACATAAGAAAGCTATCTCAAACATATCCTTGTTTCAAACGTACGTTCATTTATAATAATATAATAATAATAATTTAGTGACACTCTTCTGCTGCAATCTCCCAGTGCGTGAAGCCCCGAGGCAATACTGTATGAGATTTCATCCGAATGGAGCAAGGCTTTTCAAGTGATACGATTTCCAATATCAAGCATCTGTTGAGGCCAAACCATTCAAGTTATGTTTGTTCATGGCTGATGAGCATCACGTTTACGAGTCCATGCGACCCGCTGCCGTTGAACAGATCATATATCGATCATGTGAAATAATAGACAATGTTGAGCTGTATCTGCCTGTCTACACCCGGTACAAAAACTCGGTCGAGAATAATATGCATAGACCAAAGAAATTATTCTAATCGTTTCATGTTGGAATGTGGTTATCACCATTTTCCGGGACGGAAAATTCTCTAATTTATGCATTTTAACGGGTGCGCCACATCCAGGTAGAAAGGTGGACAGATAGACAGACACACGTAAACACGCACACACACACACACACACACCTATACACAGAAACGCATCAACCGATGAAAGGTTCCGCTTCATCGACTCCTTGAAAAATGCAAAACACTATATATATATATATATATATATATATATATATATATATATATATATATATATATATATATATNATATATATTGCAATACAATTGCCAAGCTCGGCGAACAACTAAACATCAAATTATACCACCCGAGCTACAAAAACAACAATCAACAACAACAAAACTGTCATATATATATTTATTTGTCTGCGCTCCACAAAAAGGCGTGGGTGCGAATTATGTATGCATGATTAATCCACGACCAAGGAGGTTTGTACGCTATGTCCAAGACCGTTGATAGATTTGAGCACAAAAGAAAACTCATTTTTGGAAACCAAATCACTTTGGTGGTCCGATGTTTTCCTCTTTCTCTATACCTTACTCTGTGAACCTATTTGTGAGTGTCCGATGTGACGATATATGCGGTGCGGGTGTCGAGTAAGCGGTTGGACCGTGCTGTGTACTGATGCAAATTTCGGTCTGATCACATGGAATATGGATATAAAGTTCAAATCAAGCACAACACACACGTGTCGACCCAACTCAATCACCGCTGTTATCGTTTCGTTGGATATGCATGAACATTCCTATAGCAGAGCAGCAGTGACGGTCAGAATTGTGAGAGTCTTTTGTGGGTCTCGTAGTCAGCTTTGCTTTGGTGGTAGAGAGTTTTACTGTCGTTCGTTCAATACCACGCCTAACCTATTGGAGCCATATGTTGTTTGTTAATTCAAGTCCCACGGGGCTTAGGTTACCGGTTTCCATTACTGCACAACAGGTTCTCATAACTATTGGGTTTACCCCGTCTGCTGTTCATCACATTAAAGTGTGTAACGGAAAACGTTGGAGTTTCTGTCTCCCTTCATTCTATTGGGGAAGTCTCAATGACTAACATTTTCGGCTGCGTGTACCTTCACTGGAGTGAGCGGTGACCACAGGCGTGATTCAACCCCTTAGTTAAGAGACTCGAACATTGCTGCCACCCTAGAACTTTGGTGTTAAGCAGCTTGGCCCCAGTTCGGATCCGTATCACGTTTTGACACAAATTCTTCTTCGATTGACGGGTACCACGAACGAACATTAAGGGTTCATCTTTCCTATCTGAAGTTGTGTGACTGCAATGGACTGGTTAAACGAACTGATAATCGGACCCCGCAAAGAGTCATAAGAAGTGGAACTGACTACTTACACTGAGAAAGACCATTGGAAGCCTGAACTTGTTTATTATCAGACTTGGACTAGGTCAATGAAACATAATAACCGAAACATGGAAGCATCAAAGTACGGTAAACTGCAACAGAAAACTATCGCGAATACAAACAGTGGTGTTTGAAGGATGAGTTGGACAGACCGGTGGGAGGGAATTAACAGAGACTGGTAACTGAATAGGGTGTCAACTCACCAAATCATCGAGCAAAAAACAAACAGACAATGGTACTCACTGGATTTCACTGCATTAAATCCGAAATCGGCACTTATGACAAATAACACCTTGCTTTTGCCTTTCTCAAAAAATTCTTGCATCGCTTCTAATTGTTGATTGTCCAACAACCAGTCACAAATAGTCGGAGCATCGAATCGGAAATACAATTCCAAAATGGCCACCAAATGCATATGACGATCATCGATCAGAGCACGTCGCAGTTCGCGACTCTCTTTGATTCGAGCCTGACAAAATCACACGCACACAGAGGGATGGGGCGGGATGCGGGGTGGTGGAGAGTGGTGAAAAGCATAGAAATGCAAGATTTAATTCAACTATATGGTGAATTTTGTCGCGCGCCCTGAAATGATGAGCTAAAAAGCACTATACAGCTTTTAGAGTATCAAGCTTGGCTTAGCCCATTCGAGTTTTCAGAAGCATCATGCACTCTTGATGGTCTTCGGTGTGGGTTTCACTCCTTGGGAGATCGTTAATTCCTCACGAGGTAAATGCATTCATATGCGATGGGAATGTTTGTGATAACTGGCAAACATCACTGGACAGCTGTTTCAACCTAGTTAGCTATTATCAGCAGTGGAAACACCGATGTAACCACAGTAGAAAGCAATGCAGACTGTCGGTGATTGTGCTACCAACAGGACAAGTTGAGAAAATTTGAAAAAACGACGCTCCCTTTAGGTATTTTTAATGGAAAAAGTGTCCAATTGGCTAAAATCCACTTTGACATTACACTAATCGGGATTTCATCGTGTACAAAGAAAATGGGGTGTGAACTGAAAAGTTATGAAGCACTGGAGAGATTTAATTCCACCTAAGTTGTTCTTATCAGTAGTGCGAATCAACCGATCTATTTAGTGATCGAAGCTGAATCCTCGCGTGTCGAACGCAAGCATATGACCCACTGGACTACCGAGCATATCGTTTTTCATTTTGTTTTTACAAGACATAGCACTATATAATTTAATCAAAACTTTCGAGTACTTTCATGTAATAATTAGTTGGGTTGGCATGTTTCCGACCAAATCCCAAACCTGGAAACTAGTGCTGAAATAAGCTAGGCACAACACCCGCAACTAGAGTGAAAAGGTGGGTTGTCTTTTATCGTGTAAAAGCTAAGTGAAAAAGGTCCGTGCTGTGGTCGAGTGGGTAGAATGCTTGCGTTCCAAGGTTGGACTGAATTACACTATTGATAATACCGAATCAAGTCGAAACGGCCGTACACTACTCTTCATATTCCCGGTCCATACTTTCTTCACTGTATGCACGCTAAAATTGGAATCAAACCCTGTGATACTCTTATATAAACAGGATTTTTCAAAAGCTGCTGTTTTTCCGAACAACAAAATGCACATTGTACGTGTGCGGATCGTCTAGAAAATTACCAGAACTGTACGCAGTCAAATATCTTCACCATTCGCGGGTTTCTTTATTCGACCGATATACCAAGTTTGTGAAAGCATCAATGATGTTAGCCTCACAAAGTGACGATGGCGATAAACAGCAACTTAGCATGAAAGTGTTCCGGTGAATTGGCCAAATCGAATCGGCTAAAGCATAAAATTCTTCAGAAAAGGCTAGCGGTACACCGGTGACGATAGCAACAACGCGAGATAGATTATCCATTGGATTCCTTTTTGATAGAATACATTTTCACAAAAAGTTTACTTTTCTGTACTATTTCAAGCATGATAGGCACCAATCCTCTCGAGGGAACCACGGGACAGTTAGCTGAGAACTGGCCTGTATCGAGCGTCTCACCACACCCAGGCGGAGAAAACAAACAAGAGCATTGAATTTCCCAATATACTGATTATCCTTCAACTCGCACTGTTTCCAGTCTTACTCAAGACTGTGAGCAGAGAATACTCCCATACTGAGGCTTACAATTATTGCCTGGGGCTGATTAACTGGATTGAGATTTAATTCATATTCCCGTTTGCAACAGAAAACAAGTATATCGATTTATTTGTTTTCAAAACTTGATCAAGTTTTGAATAAGATATCGCCCTTGCTATTTGCAATTTACAGTAGTTGAAAGCTCAGCACATTTCAGTTGCACTTTTGTGGGAGCCAAGTACAAAGTGCGAGTTTTCCTTTCTACGGAGAGCGCTTATTCAGCCAGTGCACTCACACAAAAATCAAGGTTTTCTCCTTAACATATGTGGTGAGTTTTATCCGGATAAAGGCGATGAAGGTGTCTGAAATAATTCCGCACACTCTCTTGCGATTGCTTTAGTTGGGTTAGGGTAATAAAGTGTATAAGGTTTTCAGTTTTTACAACTATTAAACATGCAC